TTGTTACTTTTTTTTTTTTTTTTATGTAATCAGCATGTGGATTGGTCTGAACGTTGTGATTATTTTAGGAATATAATTACTGGTATTGTACAAATAGATGGTGCTATTTTGATATTTGTCACTTTTTTGAATTTATGTCACTTTTTTTAAACAAGTAAAAAATTGGCATTTTATCACTTTTTCATTTTACACAATATTTTTTAATTCCTAAAAACTTTTCATATAATTTTTCAAAACAAAAAATATTCTTATTTTAAGGATATTTTTGTAAGTACACCGTTTAAATTACCCTTGTTGTTGGCCAATATTATTCGTCCATTTTCAACTCCACTCCACATTCTTGGATCTTTCTTTTTGCCCCAAAGCGCAGAGCCTCAGAAGTCCAGAAAAAAATGTTCAGACAAGCTTCGAGATTCCTCCTGACCCGATCCTCCGCCGCCACGATGAGGTGGCGCTGCCCCTTCTCCACCGATCTGCCGGTGGAGACTGCAGTGGACTCCAAGTTTGTTGATGCGTGGAAGCAATCGATCCCGAACTTGGACCCACCTAAGACCCCCTCGGCATTCATGAAACCGAGACCGCCCACACCCTCCACCATCCCCTCCAAGCTTACTGTCAACCTCGCCCTGCCTTATGATTCTCTCGTCTCCGCCAAAGAGGTATACTTGTATATACATGTTTGTGGAAGTTAATATATGCATATATACACCCGTTTTATTTTTGGAAGATGAGGTTTTTAAATCCTTTATTCATTATGGGTTTTAAAAATTTTAAGTTGTGAGGTGAAATTTTAGTGGAATTGGTGAACTATCGGCTTGTGGCTTCTTCTCTTAATCTCCTTTGTATTTGGGGTTTCGCCATTTTTTTCTCATAAAGATTATTTGAATCTTATGCTTAGTTTTTAGTTTTTAAATTACTGTTTTGGATATTGAATATAAATACTGATCTGAGCTCGAAATGCCTGTTGAATAAATATATCAACATGCCGAGTATATGGGAAATGATATTGTTGAAATTGGGCTAATGCTGCATTCTCTTAATTGTGATAGCAATTAGACCAGAGAATGCGATTGCGTGATAAGGTCGCAATTGAACAGATCGAGCTTTTTGGGTACATCAGGAAGGAGGTGCAGTTAGGATGAGTTTATGCAGAAATGGGATAATATGTGGACAAGTTTTCAAGGCTTTAATTTATGAGAATCGTATTGCTTTTCAAGCACTGACATAGTTACTTAAGCATGGTGAACAAGGCTTTGAGATATGGTGCTTTGTTTTAGGATGGATTTTCTTTTGCCAAGTTCACTGTGACAGTTAGGTCGTGAATTTATCTGTGGTTTGGATCAGATACTGTTTTTCTTTTTTCATTTCTTAAGTATGTCAAGTGGATGCATTTTGAGATGGAGGATTTAAAGTTCGTCGTTAAGTAGCATATATAATTTTTTTGAGGCTATATGAGGTTTGGACCTTGTGGATGACATTCTATACTCAAGTGTTTTGTAACTTGATAATACAATAAAACCTCTATAAAATAATGATATTGGGATTGAGAAAAATTATTATTTTAGAGGGGTTATTAATTTATCGATAAATGTATAGTTTATTAATTTATATAAATGAATATTTATTAATTTATAGAGTATTTTATACTTTTATAACTTGTATTATATTTTTCTATAATACATGTAAGCACACAAAAAGGCACAAACATATATACATTAAGAGGATGTTTGATACCCATTTTTTGGAGAAAAGAATTTTTGGAATGGTGATTGATGGGAGAATGTGTGGTGGAAAAGTTATGAAAAGTTTTAGATTTGTGTGTAATACTATTTTATTGGGAGAATGTGTGGTTGAAATGAAGAAAGAGAAAAAAATGAGAATGAGAATGAGATGAGAATGTGTGCCAAGCAGGGGCTAAAGAGGAAACATTGTAATATTATTTTATTGGAAGAATGTGTGGTTAAAATGAAGAAAGAGAAAAAAATGAGAATGAGAATGAGAGGAGAATGTGTGCCAAGCAGGGGCTAAAGAGGAAACATTAATGTATATGGCTTCAAAATTTAATATCTTGAAATATTAATCATTCAAGTTATTTCATGTACACATGGAATAAAATTTCTACAGTAATTAGTTTTAACATAAGACCTCCAATCATTCTAGATTTCATAGATTTTTTCTACTATGGCGTTTTATTTGAAATGAGTTAAAAAATCTACAAGATTTAATCAACTGAAGATATTAATATTGAACCAAAAGTTAGCGAAGATGAAGGAATCAATGGATTGTGAAGCTATTTTTGGTTTACACTATAGAAATGTGATAGATGTCGAGTACTTTTTAAACTATTCTAGTAAAAATGACGTTGTAATAAAATCTCATACTAATGAAGATATTATTGAAGGGATACTCAATACACCTATCAATGATGATATGATCCAGATGATTATTGTGTTTTACCAACTGTTTCTTCAAAAGAGGCATTTCAAGCCGTTGTAACATTAAAAAATTAATTTTTACAAAATGAAAAAAATATGCCAAATGTAGTACGTGCCTTGTAAAAAATTAAGAATGAAGTTGAATGTGGTTTATGTACAAAAAAAAAAAAAAGAAGAAAGAAAGCAAAATACTTTAGATAAATATTTTGAAAAAAAGACGATTTGAAGAAAATATTGTCAAATTAAGTTTGTTAATTTGTATTAGTAAGAACTTTTATGAATTTAAGCATTTATTATTTTATATATTTTTGGGCCTTAAAGGAGCTAAAAAAAAAATTAGGGAAAATTGCAGTCACTGTATCAAACCTTTCACATTTTTGCAGACTTTGCCCAAACTTTTAATTTGTGCCAACCACGATACCAAACCTTTAAACAATTCGCACTTGGAATCCAAATTAATAGAAACCATTAGTTTGGCCGTTAGTTGACCAAAAATTAAAAATTTGACCAATTATTGACTAATTCTTAAAGGGCAAAATAGTAACTTTCCCTTTTTTCATATAAAAAAAACTAAAATCAACTAATTAAATAAAAAACCAGAAACCCTATTATCTTCTCCAACCACCCCACGGCGCCTCACCTCATCTCTCACCCAACCCAAAACCAAAACTGTCGGCACCACCAAACCGACCTCCACCACTGTTCAAGTTCTCCGAACGATGGCACCCACAAACATTCGCCTCAAGTGATACGGACCCCACCAACCTTTATGTCAACCTCCTAAACTTCACCAACAAGCGTGCCGTGGAGCTTGGAGCCGGCTGCGGAGTAGCCGCCATGGTACTCTACCTGCTTGATTTGCACAACGTCGTAATTACAGACATTGCGCCTGTCATGCCAACTCTGAAGCACAATTTGAAGAGGAACAAGCCTGTTTTGAAGAAGACCCTAAAGACGGCCCAGTTGTATTGGGCTAAAGAGGAGCAGATTCAGGCATTAGCCCCGCCTTTTGATTTTGTAATTGCGACGGACGTGGTTTATTTGGAGGAGACGGTGGCGCCGTTAATCAGGGCAATGGAAAGTTTAGTGTAAGATGACGGTGTCGTTTTATTGGGTTACCAGCTGAGTTATCCGATTGGGCCTGTAATCAGTCTTAAGCATCATTTGGATGATGATGAGAGGATAATGACGTGGTTGGACAATCAGCCCGTGTCTTCGGTGGTGTTTTTGTGCTTTGGAAGTTGGGGATGGTTGAAGGGGGAACAAGTCAAGGAGGTAACTGCAGCACTCGAAGGTGGCGGAGGTGGGTTTGGTGGTGCCGACAGTTTTGGTTTTGGGTTGGGTGGTGGGTGAGGTGTGGTGTGGTGGGGGTGGTTGGAGAAGATAATAGGGTTTTTGGTTTTAGTTTCTTTATATGAAAAAAGGGAAAGTTACCATTTTGCTCTTTAAGAATTAGTCAACAATTGGTCAGATTTTTAATTTTTTGTCAACTAACGGTCAAACTAACGGTTTCTGTCAATTTGAACTCCGGGTGGGAATTGTTTAAAGGTTTGGTATCGTGGTTGACACAAATTAAATGTTTGGGTAAAGTCTGCAAAAATGTGAAAGGTTTGGTACCGTGGCTGCAATTTTCCCAAAAAATTATTATCTTATGCATTTAATGAAGTTATTAATTTAGTACATTGACCCAAGTCGGAATCAAGGAATTTTATTATTTAAGCGAGATTATTAATTTATCGGGCATTCATTTACCTAGGTTTTACTGTAGATATGGATTGGGCAATAGGAGAACATGTTCTAAGATTGTTGCCAAGCTGTCTCTTTCTTTGTTTATTGGCGATCCTCGTGGGAATTTCCTTATGTTTTAGTTTCTCTAGATGGGTCAAATTGATCAACAAAGTGGAACGGGGACCTCTGTTCCTTTATTGAATTGTTACATCGAGCTGTACAAAACACTTTTTGCCTATAGGATTACTGCCAATACTAGATTGGTGATATTCTATTCATTTGAAGAAGGATCATGATATGCTCCTTTCCTTGTTAATCTTATTGGTCTTGGCATTTAACTTTATGAGCATGTCTGAGGATAAGTTATGAATGTGTATCCTGTGTAAGTTGTGCAGTTTATGTTTCCATGGTTCCCACAGAGCTAAAAGTGGTGCCTACATTTGGTTACAATTTATTGTAAACGTAATACTGCAATAAAAGCTTTGTATCATGTAACATTGGTAGATAGTTGTCACAAAACCTGAAGAATGTTTCAGTTTGAAGCCTGCAATTCCTGTGCTGCTTGACATGAGCAATCTAATGGCCAGTTCACTTAAATAGTATAGGAAATTTCCACAAGAATCATACTCTACACTGACCTTGACTTAGTGATGATTTTATGATATGAAAGCATGAACCGGTTTTCTCCAAACTACATCACCAATTATTCCACTAATGAGCTACATAATAGTGTGCAAAGAAAAACTTTTGGGCACTGCCCCTGTAGGATGATTTGCCAGCTGGCATTAGAGCTCACTGTTACGTAGTTATTGCTCTATAATCTTCGGAATAATCTCAATTTGTAGCAAGGGAAGAAGAGCAACACAATTGTATTTGTTTTCTTTTGAATAGAAATTGCAGATATATTTCGAAAGCAAAAATACGAGCAGTGCGCAGTGCTCGTGAATTCTGACAATTTGCCAGCTTTTATTTCCTCTTGGCTGCAAAATCATCAATCGAGTTAGATGTTTAAGCCTTGTGAATTCTGACAAAATTTGCTGCCTCATATTTCATCTCGGGTAAATCAGATAGTGCGGAATCGTCAGTCAAGTTCCGAGATGAATAGTTGGTAACTTACCTGGGGGGATAAACATGGGATGATTCTTGGCGGAGATCTATTTCCCAATGCTATTCAATTACTCGCGTATGAACTTTTTTTTCTCTTTGTTTGATCTTTTTGAGTATTTCCATTTTCAAAAATTATGTTGACAGTGAATCTTTATATTGTTGTCCTCGGCAAGGTGTAAACCTTGGGAACTTATTTTGGTAAACTCTCTTATCATTTTATTGCTCGGTGTGCATACATTGTCATAGGTTGACATGATTATAATCCCTGCAACTACTGGACAAATGGGTGTTTTGCCTGGTCATGTTGCCACAATTGCAGAGCTGAAGCCCGGTGTTCTATCAGTTCATGACGGTAATGAGGTGACAAAATATTTTTTGAGCAGTGGGTTTGCATTTGTCCATGCAAATTCCGTTGCAGATATAATAGCAGTCGAGGCCACGCCTCTTGACCAAATCGACCCGACCCTTGTTCAGAAGGGACTTGCAGAATTCACCCAAAAGCTAAACTCAGCATCAAGCGATGAGGAGAAAGCCGAAGCACAAATTGGGGTTGATGTACACAGTGCCCTCAATGCCGCTTTTACAGGATAAGGGTAGGGGAGAGGCAGGTCAGCAACGTTTTCTAGTATCCTTCTTTGTTGTTTGCTTGAGTCGATCTTTTTTCGTTGCTTTGCAAAAGTTGTTTTCTGTGCGTTCCTTAAACAATTATCTTGGAATCGTTAGATAGACGATTTTCTTCAATAAATACTGAGACCAGTTTGGCACGTTCGATTTTCTTGTGCTAGGTGCCAAAACATTTGTTTTTAAATAATCTGGAATTATAGATCGTTATGCGAACATCTTTCCACTTGAGCCAAGACTTTCCACTTGAGCCAAGATTCTTGAAGGATCAAATACATGTATAGTTTTACTTTTGTTTGAAGGATCAAATACATGTATAGTTTTACTTTTGTATCTTGGCCATCAACACATTTCTAATTGTAATTGGTGAGGCATGGCATTTGAAGTATATGCCATAGTCTGAAGAAAATTGTACGATGGAAATGTTATTCCATTCTGTGTTGAACTCTTCCGCACCTATATTTTATCAGATGTCTTCGAAGGGACTAATATCAATCCCTACAAGTCCATCATTAAATGTAGGTGTTTGTTTTTTTTTTTCCTTTTTTGGCACTACAGGAACTTGAGCAAGAAATCTCCTCAAGATCTGTTAGAGCTCACAGTTCTACTGAAGGGTATGATAAAAAACCTACCAAAACTCTATTAAGTTCATTTTCCTATCCTACTTAAATAAAAGACTCTTTTACCTGTACTGTTCATAAGTCGAGCTGAGCCAAATGTCTTGATGGATCGGTTCGGCTAAGTTTTTTTTTTT